GTCCCATCTGGAGAATTCTAGGGCAGCCCATGGCCAGGGGCAGGGAGAGCAGAGGTGTTCTCTCATCTCTGTCCCTTCTTATAAAGCCACCAAGGTTCAACCACGGGCCTGCCCTGAGCTAGCCCTAACCTCCTTGTGGCCCAGCCACACAGCCAGCTAAGTCTCCTCCCTCTCAGTGCCTCGCAGTGGAGGCTGGACTCCAACATGATTTCTGAGGGGCTGGACCACAGCACCTGGTCTTCAGGAAGCACCACTTTTCCTAATTCTAATTAGGGAAATCTCCTCTCTGTATCCTGTGGCTGGATTTTCACAATGAAAAATTGAAAAGATGTTATTGTCTGAAAACATTCTTCTGGCCAGGCGTGGTGGTGCACACCTGAAATTCCAGCAGCTCAGGAGGCTGAGGCAGGAGGATCGTGAGCTCAAAGCCAGCCTTGGCAACTTAGCAAGACCTTGTCTCTAAATAAAATATATTTTTAAAAGAATGAATGGGAATGCGGCTCAGTGGTTAAGTGCCCCTGAGTTCAATCCCTGGCACCAAGAAATCAAAATTTAAAAAAAAAAAAAAAGACTTCTTCTGAGTGTATTTTGATGAGGACAACATCCCCTCAAGGCTTTAAGGAGTTGCATTAGTGAATCATGAAATCTTGCAGATTAGCACTTTTCAAAAGTCCACCCATCTCCATGGCCACTGTGGGGAACAAACCTCCAACACCGCAGCCTATGGAGGATGCTCTCAAGCCACACCCAGACACCAGCATCTGTCTTCTCTGTGTCCTGGGTTCTCATACCTGTAACACGTGCACGAGGACAGCAGTGCGAGCCCCACAGGACTCTCAGCCAGTGTCGCCCTGAGGACGGCACCTGGACCCCCTGAAAACACTCGTGGCTGTCAGCGGTGCTGAGGCTGCCCCAGCCCAGCTCTCGGCGCACGGGAAGCTGCATGGGACCAGTTCCAGGGTTTGTTCTGAGACTTTCTCCTGGGAGACCGTCAACTCCAGCTCTGACGACTGCACTCTAGGCTCTGCTTTGTTTTGTTTTTATCGAGGGCTCTACAGCTGTTTCCATTAGACTGGTTTTCCAAGGATTCCTTCTTCAGTTTCTTTGATTTCATGACTTCTTATCTCTTGCATTTTACTCTTATTTTGCATGAATCTTTCCAAGTAGCTTCTTAAAAAAAAAAAAAAAAAAAAAAAAGCAAAGCAATCTATACTTAGAGGATCCAAAAGCCTCCACCAGAGACCTTCTATAATTAATTAATGAATTCAGCCAAGTAGCAGGATATAAAATCAATAGCCATAAATGAAATGCATTTCTATACATCAGTGATGAATCCTCTGAAAGAGAAATTAAGAAAACCACCCCATTCACAATAGTCTCAAATAAAATACTTGGGAATCAACTTAACAAAAGAGGTGAAAGATCTCTACAATGAAAACTACAGAACGCTAAAGACAGAAATTGAAGAAAACCTTAGAAAATGGAAAGATATCCCATGTTCTTGGATAGGCAAATTAATATTGTCAAATGGCCATACTACCCAAAGTGCTATACGGATTCAATGCGATTCCAATTAAAATCCCAATGTCATTCCTTATAGAAATAGAAAAAGCAATCATGTAATTCATTTGGAAAAATAAGTGGCCCAGAATAGCTAAAGCAATCCTTAACAAGAAGAGTGAAGCAGGAGACATCACAATACCAGACTTAAACTATACTTCAGAGCAATATTAACAAAAATGGCATGGTATTGGCACCAAAATAGACATGTAGACCAATGGTACAGAATAGAGGACACAGAGACTAACCACATAAATACAATTATCTCATACTAGACAAAGGCACCAAAATATACATTAAGAAAAGATAGCCTCTTCAACAAATGGTGCTAAGAGAATTGGAAATCTATATGCAGCAAAATGAAAATAAATCCCTCTCTCTCACCATGCACAAAACTCAACTCAAAGTGGATCAAGGACCTAGAAATTAGTTCAGAGACCCTGCGCCTAATAGAGGAAAAAGTAGGCCCAAATATCCATCACATCAGATTAGGCTCTGACTTCCTTAGGAAAATTGCAAAATATAAAATCAAGAATTAATAAATAAAATGGACTCAAACTGAAAACCTTCTTCTCAGTAAAAGAAACAATCAATGAGGTGAACAGAGAACCTACATTTTGGGAGAAAATTTTTGCCATATGCATGTCAGGTAGAGCACTAATCTCCAGGATATAGAAAGAACTCAAAAAACTTAACGCCAAAAATACAATCAATAAATGGGTAAAAAGCTGAATAGACACTTAAAAGATATACATTCAATCAGCAAATATATGAAAAAATGTTCAACATCTCTAGTAATTAGAGAAATGCAAATCAAAACTACTCTAAGATTTCATGGCAGTTATCAAGAATAAAGACACAGTAAGTGTTGGCGAGGATGTGGGGGAAAAGGCACACTCATACATTGCTGGTGGGACTGCAAATTGGTGCAACCAGTCAGGAAAGCAGTATGGAGATTCCTTAGAACCCTTGGAATGGAACCACCATTTGACCCAGCTATCCCACTCCTTGGTTTATAACCAAAGGACTTAAAAAGAGCAGCTCACAGCAATGTCAATGTTTATAGCAGCTCAATTCACAATAGCTTAACGGTGGAAGCAACCTAGGTGCCCTTCAAGAGATGAATGGAGAAGGAAACTGTGGTATACATACACAGTGGAATATTACTCAGCATGAAAAGAGACTAAAATCATGGCATTTGCAGGTAAATGGGTAAAGTTGGAGAATATCATGCTAAGGGAAGTAACCAATCCCAAAAAACCAAAGGCCAAATGTTCTCTCTGATAAGTGGAAGCTGATCCAAAACAGGGATGGGAGAGGCTGGGAAAAACTGAGGAACTTTTATTAGGCAAAGGGAAGGGAGGGTAGAGAGGGTTCAGTGGGGCAGGACAGATGGTGGAATGAGGTGGACGTCATTATCCTAGGTACATGTGCACATATGGTGGGACGCTACATGTGCACAACCAGAGAAATGAAAAGTTGTGCTGCAATTGTGTACAGTGAATCAAATGTATTCTGCTATCATATATACCTAACTGAAATAAATAAACTAATTAAAAAATTTAAAAAGCAAAGGCTGTACTGCCTCGGCTGCCCATCTGCGTCCTCAACGCAGAGGCTCCTGTCCGAACGGTCCAGCCAGCACAGAGGTCTGGGCGGCATGTCAGATGAGGAGCAGAGAGGGAAACTGAGGAAGCGCAGGCTTAGGAGGAGCGAGAAAGCACTTTTCATCTACACGGGAGCTGCTGTTTGGGAAAGATGGTTTTCCGGCTCCGGGATTCTCTGAATGCAAAACCAGAAGAGGTTGGAATTGAAAAGCACCCCTTCCTTCCAGCTAGAGCCTCTTCAGAACCGAATGGGATGCCTTTGGAGCTGAAGAGCATCCTAGTGATCCACTTTCTTCCATTCAATGAATATTTATTGAGGGCCGACTGTGTGCCATTCTAAATGTTGAGGATACATCAGAAAATAGACGAAAGTCTTTGCTCTTGGGATGTTTATATTCCAGAAGGGGCAGGGAGACTGTCAATAAATAATAGCAACAAATTAGTAATTACATGTGCATCTATCATAGCTACCTATGTATGGCTACAGGAGAAGGTGAAAGAGGTGGGGAAGGAGTAAGAGAGACATAAGGACATGGAACGAGAGAGGCTGCTTTAAACGAGGGCCTTAGGGTAGCTCGGCCTCAGTGGGAAGGGACTGCGTCAGTCAGGGTTCTCCAGAGAAGCAGATCATGGAGATGGATAGAAGGAGATTTGTCCTGAGGGACTGGCTGAGAAGCCCTGCAATCTGCCGCCTGCAAGCTGGAGGTCCCGGAGAGCCAGGGCGGCTGACCTCCAGGGGCAGGAGGAGATGTGTCCGGGGAGGCAGAGGGCAGTTCACCCTCCCTGTGTGCTCTTGGCCTCTGCACTCTACCCGTGGGGTGGACGGCGCCCCCTGCACTCTCGACTCAGTCTGTCAGTTAAACCGCTGACTCCTTCCAGAAACTCATCCTGATGTACAGATGGTTCTGCCAGCTCCCTTTGCCCAGCAACTGACACTTGAAATCAGCCATCACAGTGACATGTGAGCAGATGTGGGGACCACGTGAGGGAGTCAGTCCTGGGAGAGGAAGCCGCGTAGAGGCCTCAGGTGGGAGGCGCCAGCAAGGCCTCTCTGCAGGCTCTAAGCTAAGTCTGGCCGCACACTGGACAGACATGAGCAGATCTCTTTCTGCCTCGGCGTGAAGTACTGTGTGACCTCTAAGGTCTGTTCCAAGTCATTATGCGCCCTGAACTTCCGGCGCTCTGACAGGCAGGCGGCAGGGAGCAGGGTGGGTGCCAGAGCAGGGCTCACAGATCCCGATGGTGAGGGGCCAGACAGGTAGCACAAACACTTAAAGGACTGGCAGTGAACTCAGAAATTTCTGGAAAAGTATTATATGAAGCAAACAAAACCTGATTGTGGGCCAAATCTCGCCCGGCTGCCACCAGTTGGAAGCTTTTGCATTAGAGAAGATAAAATCAGCTAAGAGTGCCGGGGCACAATGTGCATAGGGAGTCTTGGACAGGAGTAAAAGAGAAGAAATCTGGTGACATCAGAGAGTTTAATGACCATTGTTCCTTTGTGACAATCTGACAGGGAACCAAGAGGGAAGAAGAATCAGATTCTTGTGTGGTTTAGACCCCAGGAGGCCACTGCTCGCTGACTCTCCCTACTTATCATCAATGGCTAGATATCAGTCTGTCCCCCCCACGTCCCCCATTGTGGTATACATGTGCATGTGGCATTTAGGAACTGGGAGCCCAACAGAGAGAAAACACAAGCCGGGCACCATCTCCACTGCTGTGTGTGTCTAAGTGTTGCTATAGCGATGGGGTCCCCAGCACAGGCTTGGGCGCCCACCTGCGGCAGGTGGCCTTGCTCTGAGAGTGACGTGTCCTGCTTCCTTCCGGCAGGTGCCTTCATCTGCAAGTTGCTGCCCTTTGTCCAGTGCACCGCCATTGTGACGGAGATCCTCACCATGACCTGCATTGCTGTGGAAAGGCACCAGGGACTTGTCCACCCTTTTAAAATGAAGTGGCAGTACACCAACCAGAGGGCTTTCACAATGCTAGGTGAGGCCATGTGCTAAGCTGGTAGGGCTAGGGGACCACGTGCATGCCCTGGAGGGTCACACCGCCCCCCCCCCCCCCGGCCACGCCCGCGGACCCCCCCCCCCCGCCCGCCCCCCCCGCCCCAGGCCTGCAAGCCCTGGGTGCCTGGGGGCGTGCAGACCCCCCCCCCCCCATTTGCCTCTAGCCCCCCATCTCTCCTCAGGCCTGTCCCAACACTGACTTCCTGGGGACACCTCTCAGGCAAACTTACCTCCCACTCCTCTGTGGAAGCCCGACAGAGGCCTTGCCCTCAACCTTCAGCACCTCAGCTGTCAGCCTGAGGTGAAAGGCACTGAGCTAACAAGGGCAGGCAGGTCCCCAGGGGGCAGGGGACATGTGGTCAGAGGGCAGAGGACAGGAGGGCTGCCAGAGGTGCACCTGGCGGTGAGTGCACAGCAGGAGGCTTCGGCTGTGAGAGAGCAGAGTGGGTCCTGGATGCCCAGTTGGCTCCAGCTGCTCCTGCTGCTCCTGATTAGCTGCCATGGTGAACGTGCCACATGCCAAGTGGCACATTTGAAGTGCGTCCTGTTGCCTGGCACAGTGACTTGGGAGAACTTCCCCGCTCAGTCATCCATAGCTGGATGAGCTTCACACTGATGGGATTTATGCTGCTAAATCAACAGAGGCCCAGGAAGCAGCCGAGTGGGCATCAGAGAGAGCAAGTTTTACTACTATATCATGTGAAAGGTGTCAGCAAGCATTTATTTCTGCTATGACAATTTAGTTAGTATTGGATTGTGGAATTACAGAAAGGATTCCTGAGGGCTTTGCAATCCTAAACTTATCTTAAATAATTGGAAATGAATGGATGAATCAACAGGGGAAAATCCATTAGTTTCAGTTATCTTCAAATTTATGCCATGTCTTTCCTATGAAGGATTCAAAGGTCTCTGGGTTTTTGATAATTGACCACCTTGTAGCATTAAAATATGTGAGGTGGTGTGGTGGGGAGGGGGACGAGGAAAGGGACACACGGAGGCAGTCACCAGGCAGGAAAGGGAAAGAGGAGATGGGTCTCGACACACGGAGGCCACGCTGACAGTGGGCCGGAAGCATACCAGCTTCAAGGTCCTGGAGAGCAGCAGGTCCTATGGTCAGAGACACACGGCCATCGGACCCTGCTGCCTGACAGCTCCCCACAGGTGGTTTCTCCTGCTAGTGCACCGCCCTGTCAGTCACACCTGGGTCCTTGGCCTTGTGCCTCCTTCTAGCTGATGCTGCCCTCCCAGGTCCCAATCGGGGACCTCCCAGAAGTGGTCCTGGGTTGTGTGAGCCTGTCCCTCTCACCCTGCGCCTTCCATCCTGGGCTAGTGGGGAGCCCAGGAGGACTGGCAGTGAGCCAAGCCCAGGAGACTCAATTCCCCCAGAATTTGCTAGGGATGGGAAAAGGACTGGACACTGGGCAGCTCCACACGACTAGAACCCAGTAGATGTGGGGGAGGCTGGAGTGCAGAGACGCTCTGGAGCCCCAGAGCCACCTGGGATCATTAGGTGGGGAGGACGTCTGCCCACGGTGCCAGTTCATGGGTCTCCTCTAACAACCCTAGTGTGGCCCGAGTCTCAGCTTCTTGGAACCCAAGGAATGTGCTGTCTCATAATGACTCGCCCGGTGAAAGAAAACCAGAGTTTGATTTCCCCCAAATCAAAGATGGCCCTTGGTTTTGGCCTCTTCTTGATTTGTTAATATTCCTAGGCTGAAATGCTCCTGGGTAATTACACCGTTTTTCTTCTTTGCTAAGAGCCTATCAGAAAGGTAATTCCTCTCAACAAACTCACAATGGGGGGCAGGGTATTTAGAAAGGGCGGCTGGTTTCTAAAGTCACAATTATGTGTTTCCTGGGTCAGAAAACAGTGCCCAGGTTATGTGGCTTAACATAACGCAGTTTAGATTCACGAAGAGAAGGTGGACGTGGTCTGGGGCCGGTATGGAAGTGGCTAGTCTGTTCAGCAGACATGGGTCAGCTCCCACCGAGGGCCAGGAACTTTCCCTGGAATTTTATTTGGGGCAACAAAACAGTAAATGGATCGTCCTCGACCACGGATGGACGGTGGGGACTGGCTGGCCAATGCTGGTACGCGCAAGGGGGCAGTGCAAGGGGTGTGGAGCAGGGGGCCTGTGTGGAGGAGGGGCGGGGCGTGGAGCAGCAGGGGGTGGGCGTGGAGCAGGGCGTGGAGTAGCTGGGTGTGTGTGCGGAGTAGGGGTGTGCAGCACAGGGGTTCGTGGAGCAGGAGCTGGGGCGAGGAGCAGGGGGCGGGGCGCGGAGCCGCTCAGCAGGCACTGGGGTTCAGGACGCAAACCAGCTGCCCAGAGTCGGGTTTACCTTACAGACAAGAGAAGGTTATTAAGGAGTTTTTAACATTTAAAACTGGTGGAGGGGGCCAAGGGTTGAGAACCCATGAGCCCACTGCGCTGCCCAGGGCAGGGGAGAAGGAGGATGGTCTCGGGGCGTGGTGAACAGGGAGTCCTGGTGGCCCGACCCTCAGCGCCTTGTGGTCCTCTCAGCAGAGCCCCTTCTGATGACTTCTGCATTCTGCAGGTGTGGTCTGGCTGGTGGCGGTCATCGTGGGCTCCCCCATGTGGCACGTGCAGCAGCTGCAGGTAGACTTGGGGCCGGGCTGGTGACGGATTGTTGAGCCATTTCTCACCCCTCTTAATTGCAGTCATTTTCTTTCCTTCAAGAGCATTGCAGAACATTTGTGTGACCTCAGTTATTTCACAGGAAGTCTTTTAACCCGACTAAAATAAGACTCCCCCACTCTGTTTTATCCAGCTCGTCTTGATATTGTGAAGATTTTAATTTTAAAATAAACATTTTTAAATTTACAAGGTCACTTAATGCATTCCACAGCAAGGTGAGCATGCCGGTGTCTCTCCATGTCATGCGGCATTTTAAGAGTTCAATGATTGCTTTAGATTTTTCTTATATTTTTAAATCACATAAAAATTTGTTTTTAAGATTGTCTACTTAGTTCTTTCTTACCTGCCTCTGTTCATTGACAAACTGAAACTGGAAATATGTCAAGGGATCATCTCTGTGACTTCCCTCCCACACCTTGTCCGACAGGCCCACCCGGCCTGGGCTTCAGGGTAAAGGGAGCAGTGTGTTCATTGCAGGTGGCCCAGCCTGTGGCTGTGCCTCAGTGTGTCCTGCACAGGGAGCCTAGCACAGGCAGGCTTCAGGGACAGGATGTTCACAAGGCAGCCTTTAAAGGGACATGCCCTTTGTGCTGTGAATAGAGGTGGGCAAACGTGAAACTTTAGGGCCAGCAAGGATGTCAAGTGGGCCCCAAGATAATGGCACAGTTGGAAAGTAGCCAGTGCTTTTTGGGTTATGAGGGGGGCTGGGCTGAGTGGGCTGGACTGTGTGGGTGAGAGCACAAAGCCACTTCTTGCTGCCCGAGTGGACCCCACAACTCCTCCAGCCACTCAGGTGATATTTTCCTCTGGTCACTTTCAGCCCCTTGTCAAACACCATGTCCGGAGACAATCACATCACTCATACTTGCAGTCAATTTAAACGTTGCCTTTCCCTCCGCTTGGAAAGATTTCAGGCCCAGAGCTGTGAGGGGCTGTGGTCAGCTCCTTCTCTGCCTCGACTCCTGTCTCTCTGCCACCTCTCTCTCCTCAGGAGCCCATAAAGAGGGCGGGGAGATGGAGGGCAGAGGTCCTCTGAAGGTGGTGCCCTCTGGGGATGGCTGTGGCCCGTGATAGACTCTTTGGTCCCTGGGTCTCCCCAGGATACCAGCACTGAGGCTTCTGATGGCTTCCCTCTCCAGCCAGCTGCTCAGAAAGACCCCTCATGGCCACACAGCTTGGACCACAGCTCCTGCAGCTGACCCTACCCTTACCTCAGCAGGAGACGTCAGCTTTCCCCTGCTGTGGCCAAGTACCTGAGAAGAACCACTTGGAGGGGGAAGACTTATTGGGCTCACACTTTCAAGGGTTTCTGTCAGACAGCTCCGTTGCTCTGGGCCTGATGTAAGGCAGAGCATCATGGTGGAAGGGTGTGGTCCAGGGAACCTGCTCCTTCTTGGAAGCCAGGAAGCAGAGCGAGAGCCAGGGACAAGGTACAGTCCCCAGGGGCACTAAGGACCCACTCCTTCCAGCCAGGTCCCTCCTGCTGCAGTGTCCACGTCTCCCGGTACTCCCTTCAGCTCCAAGTACCTCGGTGGGTCGATCCGCTGAGGAGGTCAGGGCCTCTTGGTCCAATCCCTTCCCCAAAGCCCCACCTCTGGCCATTGCAGATCAGGCCAGCCCTTCAGCACCTGAGCCTTTGGGGGATGTTCCATGTGCAGACCATGACCTGGAGTGCATTTCTAGCCGATGGGAGGAAAACTTGATCCACCAATCTCTTCAATAAAATCATCTTATTGTGTACTCTACATGGATTTTAATGTATAAGTCCTTTGTTTAGTTTGAGAGAATGTGTACTGTATGATCTAATTGGCAAAGCTGCCCTGTCGAACCCAGATCAGCCAAATCAGATTTGCCTGCTGTTCGATTTCATTTTTGAGGGACTATAAGTGCATTAGTAGGGCCACCTTCTTGCTCCTGGTTTCCACGGGGACGGGCAGCAGCTGTCTTAGCACTACTCCTGAAGTTCTGGGCCTTGCTGTCTGGTGGCCTCCCAGGAGTGATGTCTGACAGTTTCTGGGACCTGGAAGCAAGGAAGTGATTAAATCAAAGTTATCGTCCCTTCTGCCCCCTCACTGTGACCTGTGAATTCACAATGTCCCAACGTTTGTCAAAATACCATCTCCCCAAATGCCAGGCCTTACCCTGAACAGAAACAGGCTTTGACAGGGAAGCGAGAGGTCCTGGCATGGGCTCTACTGCCTGGTCCAGGGCTTCACTGACGGCCACAGTTGGTGCTTGGTGTAGATTTGAGTAGGGAGAGGGTAATTATGAAAGAGGAGGTGAGAATGTGGGCCCAGCATGTACCAGCCCCAGGACCAGCCAGAGCAGTGGAGGACCTGGTACGGGTGTCACAATCCCATCCAGGTGTGCTGTTGGAAAGCCTGGGCTTGTCCCACTGTTGCAGAATCCTGTGTGGAGGCCACCAGTCTCCCGTGCAGCTGTGGGATGTAATGGGAGGTATCCCCTTTGACCCTCTAAGGTCTGCTTACCTGAAGTCGGAATGAATTTCCTTTTTTAATCCCATTCCTGGGGAGAATTTTTCCCCCACTAAATGTTACTGTTCCTCGTTGTATTCCCTCAACACCTGGATGAGAACTTAAATTTTCTTACCTTTTCAATGGATGTTGATGATTAGTGACAGAGTTTGCTGGGAGTGCAGGCAGAATATGCCTGATACCTAAGTGTTCACCTGGAACACTCCAAGGTGGTCGAAGTGGTTTAGACAGTTGGACAGATTCCCTCATTTTTATTCCTGTCACTCAGACATGACTTTCAAATGTGCTATAAACGTTTAGTTGGTCCTGAAACGAGCCCTTTTAGTAACCATTGATGTTGTCATGGTTCCTAATAATGTTTTTGAATGTACAAGATGAGTCTGCCAGAAACAGTATGAACATGTCGGCAAATAAATACAATCGGACAGGAGTTTGAATCCAATTTGCTTTTCATCTCAGAATTGACCAGTTGCCCTTTTGATCTGTTTCCAAGCAACCGGATCATTCTACTATGAGACTAGTAAAACACGTGGCTCTCAGCCTCTTGCTAGGAAGAAGTCTGAGGACTCCCAGGTCTGTTTCCTCAACAACTAAGAAAGAAAAGTCTAATTGATTGGTTCAGTGAATATCGAGCTAGCTGGCATCTGATGCAAAATGTTTTCAACATGAACTTTATTAATTGTGCTTTTCCCAGCCAACTGAGAACTCGTAGCCAGGGGAATAAAAGTTGAGAAAGATAGAAAATGAAAATAAAAGCACAAAACTCTTAAGAACTTGAGCAGTTGTGTGGAAAACACTTCCTAACCAAGCAGCCGTGGAAAAATGATTCCGGGGGACCCGCACAGCGGGGCGTCTGGGGGGCTGAGCAGGGCTGCGGTGTGGCTGCTGGCTCTGGGCCGCGTCTGCCCTGTGGGTGCAGATGCTGGTCCTCCTGACCGTGTCCTTTTTCTGCCAAGATCAAGTACGACTTCCTGTACGAGAAGGAGCACGTGTGCTGCTTGGAGGAGTGGACGAGCCCCGCGCACCAGAAGGCCTACGCCACCTTCCTCCTCGTCACGCTCTTCCTCCTGCCCCTGCTGGTCATGCTGGTCCTCTACGGCAAAATCGGCTACGAGCTTTGGGTCAAGAAAAGGGTGGGGGACGGCTCCGTGCTTCGGACTATTCATGGGAAGGAAATGTCCAAGATCGCCAGGTGGGTCCCAGGCTCTGTTCCTCTCTAAGTGCTTTTACTCAGTTATGCTGGGGTGGGACATTCGCCAGGGCTCCCAGAACCCCTCGTGATTTAGCCAACTCAGATTTAGAGCATGGCTGGCCTGTAAACCCTCAGGTTTTATGACACTGTGCTGAGGCAGGAAGAGCGAGATTACCCGCTCTGAGGTCAAAACAGGCGCTGTGGCTGTAGATAGAAACATCCCTGGGATCGGGCACACTGCTACATTTTTATCTATGTGTGACGATGATGGCTTGGCCATCGCTAAGGGCTGGTGCCAGGACCTGTGGTCCCCGGGGGTCTGCCCTGAAACTCGCCAGCTGTCATGAAGACCAGCACCTGGAGAGCAGGACCTGCTCTCCCCAGACGTCCGAGGGCCGGCACAGCCCATCCTTAGGATGTCACTCACATACATCAACAACGTGTACCGGTGCTTTGAAACTGGAGCACGTTATTGTTAAAAATCAGTATTATTGATATTTTATTTGTACCTGAAGTCTGTACTTTTGGGTTTTATTCACGCATAGCAATTTTAAAACACAGTTTACTGGTATGGTACGTGCAGTCCATATATTTTATCTTACCATCTCTACTTTATGACTGCTGGAGCACTACCGGGAGAGGCCTGGCTATTCCACGGGTTCCAAGGGGCCAGGTGTGCAGTGCCCTCTAGTGCCCATCTGTGTAAAGACCTTGCTCCCTAGACGTAATAAAGGGTTGCATGTTTGTTCCCTCCTTGGGCTCACACATTTCATAAGTATTTACAGTTTCCTATCACGGGTATGAATGCTTTTCAACATGCCGTGAATAAAAGCTAGACTGCCTAAATTCAAATCCAGAGTGCCCCCTCATTGGCCATCTGACTCTGCAAAGTAGTTCAGCTTCTCTGTGCCCCTAGCTGCATCTGCCCGGGGGGCTTGTTGGGAATGTGAGTGCATATTCTTGCCAATCACTAGTCGAGTACCAGCCCACAGTGAGCACAGGCTGTAAGGGTTGCCACCAGCTGGACACCTTTGCCGGCCGAATGACAACCCGTGTTTCCCTGTGGGTCCAGGAGGAAGAAGCGAGCCGTTGTTATGATGGTCACGGTGGTGGCCCTCTTTGCCGTGTGCTGGGCGCCATTCCACGTGGTTCACATGATGAATGAGTACGGTGAGTGTCTGTGCTGGGCGAAGGGCTTTCTCGCTTGTGGGCTGCTAATGGGCGATGAGTCACTGGGATGTGTTCTCTCCACTCGGATAATCAAATGCCCGACATGGAATGCAGGACCTTCCTGGGAAGGACCGCCAGTCAGTAAGTGACAGGCAATTAGGCACAACTGTGACCAAGCTGTCCCTGATTACAGAAGACAAAGAGACGCTTTGAGACTCTTCTCCCCCGGGACCCCGTCTCTTCTCCCTATTTAACATGGGCGAGGTGGCACCTCATGGACCTTCTTTATTTGGAACTGGCCTTCCCGGCATAGTGTAGTAAGGCCGAGGATTTCAGCCAGACTCCCTCAAGGAGTCCTCCCTGGCAACCCAGGATCCAGTGTGGGTCTTGGTGTGATTGTGTTCCTGGAACACCAGCAACATTCACAGGTGACTCTTGCTCTAGTTGGCAGGATGCTTGGAGCATTGGGTTGAATGACAGTCCCCGTGATAGGCACCAGGCTACGTGTGTACGACTGTTTCCCAAGAATGCAGCCTCGTCCCAAAGGTCATTTATTGAGATACAGGTGCCTCCCCAAGTGCTCTTGAGACTTGTGGGCCTCTGCCCCTTATGTGAATGTAAGTTTGTGGTGAAGACGGGCCAGGAGCAGCAGTCTGTTTTATTCATGGTAAAACAAGCATTCTGAAGTGCTGCTTTATTTCAGGTAATTTCGAAAAGGAGCACGATGAAGTCACTGTCAAGATGGTCTTTGCCATCGTGCAAATCATCGGCTTTTCCAACTCCATCTGCAATCCCATCGTTTATGCGTTTATGAACGAGAACTTCAAAAAAAATTTCTTGTCTGCAGTTTGCTGTTGCCTAGTAAAGGAACCCTGCTCCCCAGCGCAGAGGCCTGGGGACTCAGGGGTCACGATGACGCGGAGGAAGGCAAAGCCATGTGGGAGGCAGAACCCTGTAGAGGAGACCAGGGTGGAAGCCTTCAGCGGCGGCCACATCGAGGTCAAGCTGTGCGAGCAGCTGCAGGGCCCCAGGAGCCTCAGGCGCCCGCTGGCCCTCCTCAGCCCCGAGCTCTTGGAGAGTCCTGCTCTGGGCAGTGGGCATTAATGGGGTGGCTCCCGGGGTCAGTGTCCTACAGATTGCAATCTCAGGTTATTTTGAGCCATGGTCAGAGACTTTATTTTTAAAATGATGGCAAGAAGGAAAATCAATTTTTCCAGTTAAACTTACCTTGCACATGAAGACACCATTTTGAAAAAGTATTAGAGCATCCTGGTGATCATTAAGGTGGTCTTTTAACTATCGTGTACAATGACCTTTGTTCGTGGCTAGCAGTTTGTCCCTGTGCAGTCAGTGGACTGTGACTTTCTGTGAATTGCTGCACCTTCTTCCTTGACCGCCAGGTTAACCAGTGGACGCCACGCTGGACTGTTCAGTGCCCTGGTGGAGTTGGTGTGGTCTTTTGCACATGAAGTCTGTGCCATCAAGTCAAAGAAGATGGAGAATCAGCGAGACCCAACACAGGGGCGATGCCTGTGTTGCCACTTCTTGTAGCTGTGGAGGGACCACTCTCTGGTGGTGGCTGTCACCTAAACTCTCTGTCTCCCTGTATTCCCTCCCTACTGCAGTCCCCGGGAGCTCAGTGTGGAGACGGTGGGAAGGCCCCTGTCCTGAGCTCCTGGGCTCTGCGGCCTGTCCCTGCTCTTGTGTCTCATGTCCCCTGAGGTCCTGACTGCACAACTTCCCTGTGTCTGTCTTATAACTGTGTCTCTGCTTCAAAGAAGAGTTGGGGTCCCATTTGCTGATGGGCTGTGAAGTATCGAGACCCCTCTAACAGTCTCCACTAGTGTTTCTGCCCCTTATTTTCACTAGCAGAATGCAGGACTTTTCCTACATACAAGAGATTTTCTGCGTAGGAAGTAGATGAGGGAGGTCCACACCACGCCCGAGGGATTTTGCTGTGCCGAACCCAGGCTGACACCCAGAGCTGGGTCAGGTGGGGAAATGGAGTCCCCATTCATGTTCCTTCCCTCAGCCTCCTCGGACCCAATCACCTTCTCTCCAGAATTCCGACTCCTGACTGTCAGGGACCCCAGGCCACCATAGGGCCCCACATTTCCCCTTTAATGTCTGTGATTCCCAGAGTCCAGTGTCCGCCTCATGGCCAAGGAGGCTTTCTGCCCCAGTTTTGCAGCATCCACTCTTCCAGCGGGGTAAAGGGAAGGAAGGGAAGTCCAGCAACTCTCAGGACCTTTTAGGATTTGAGCTTTAGGATTTGGGAACCAGAGAACCCAGGCCCTTCAAACCCTCGAGTTACCTTCGACTTCATGTGTCGAAGCATGTGTGAAAAAGACGAGGAAACCGTGTGGTGGTGGGAGCCCTGCCGAGGAACCACGGGGAAGTAAAGCAGAGGAGGTGGATCATGTGTGGTTACCTGCCTGTCCTGCCTAGTTGTCCTGTGACAAGACACTGTCATTAAACACTGAACCATTAGAAGTGGGTCAGAGTCACGGATGCGGGCATAGTCATAACTCCAGGCCTGGTGCACACGTGCTCCCTATTGGATGGCGAAACATGGCTGGATCAACAGCGCTGACCTTTTCATTATCAGTTTTAAACTTCTTAAGCCTTGCAGAGCTTGGTCTAGAAACATGCAGGTGTTAGTGACCACAGACGTTCACCTCTGCTCACGTTTGTGTGAGGTAGAGGCACAAGTTGTCCTGGAAGCTGTCCTGCTCGTCCTCGACACACACACTCTCCTTGCTCTGTTAGAAAAGTTCAGGGAGGAGCAACGTTGGGCCTGTGACTGAGAATTTACTTCTCTTGGCCAAAGGTCTGGGCCCCGTCTGGACCCTGAGTGGGGAGGATGGTGGGGTGGCTTGGGTTTGGACGGGCCCTGAAGACTGGGCAGTGACCACCCTTCTCCCATCTCCCAGCCTCCCAGTGCCTCTCAGCCCTGTCTTCTGCCCCTGCAGTGCTTCCCCATTGGTTCTCCTCGCGGACCTCACTCATTTCACCTGCCTGGTTTTCCTTTATCTGGGGCCTGGAGTGAGGGCTGCAAAGGTTTCCTGGGATCCAGGGTGTAGGACTGAGGTACAGAAAATCATCTTCCATGTAATCAACATGGGGTAAGACATCAATGAAAGCAGGAAAAAAGGTCTGTTTCACTGCTCAAACCTATAG